CCAGAAACAGAAGAAACAACTTTATTTTTAAGGCCATGAGCATTCTAAGTATTTTACTCATACAACTTACACCTTTTCAACATATAATGCCCTCTTTTAACATTTAAAGGAAAATATGATTCAGTTCTACAAGAAGACTCCTTTTCCTGTTGAGAAAAATGGACACAGATACCCAGACATGGAGGTATCTTAATGATGGCAGAATGAGCAGGGGACAGGGCACACACCTGTAATCCCAGGTACTCAGGAGGATCTCAAGTTCAAGGCCAACCTGGAAAGCATCCTGAGATCCTTTCTCAAAACAGAATTTCAAAAAGGGCTGGGGATGTGGCTCAGTAGCAGAGCGCTTGCCTAGCATATGCAAAGCCTTGGGTTTGATCCCTGGTGTGTGTGTGTGTGTGTAAATAAAAATAAATAAAAAAATAATAAGAAATTAGGCAAAGTTGTAGGTGTACCTTCCACCCACTTAGTCCATGAGGTACTGTAAGGATCCCCAAAAGGAGGGAATTATGAAGCATTTCTAGGGGTAACAGACTAGAAAGTACATGTAAAGGGTTTTTTTTTTTTAATTTATTTTTTCAATTGTACACAATACCTTTATTTTGTTTATTTATTTTTATGTGGTGCTGAGGATCGAAGCCAGGGCCTCACATGTGCTAGGCAAGCACTCTACCACTGAGCCACAACTCCAGCCCTTTTTTTTTTTTTTAATAGCAATCAAACCCAGTGCCTCTCACAGGCTAGACAGAATTCTACCACTGAGCTGCATCCCAAGCCCTGAACTTCAATTTCTGAATTTAAATTACAAGTATAGAGGAAATGTTCGAAGGACTCTTGCCCACAGAGACAACTCTGGTGCTGGAGGGTGGCCACTGTTTCTTCCTGGGCAGCATGCATGTCTTCAGCTATGCCAAATGTACCACCAAACGTCTACAGCCTGGAGACCACTCAGTTCTACCACACTATTGAAAACCTGGTTTTAAAAAGTTTTATAGGTTAATAGCTACATTATTTGGAAATAATGTACACTAGCATACAATTATGCATGTTTACTACAATGTTTATGGCTACCTAAATCTGGCTTTTAAGTCCTTCCTTCCTCTGAGACAAACAAGGGCTCTTAATTTTATACAAGAAGCTTCTAGGCAGTAGATTGAATTGGACAGAACTTTCCTATGCTCATGTAAGACTACCCGACCAGGGAAACTCCACATAATATACAAATACAAGAATGAGAAGTTAGACTCCATGTATATATGATAAGCCAAAATGCACTCTACTGCCATGGATACCTAAAAAGAAAAAAAAAATTAAATACACACACACACACACACACACACAGAGACTTCTAGCCAGCCTCTGAACAACTCTGCTAGACAGCCGCTGTCCACATGAGTAACTAGAAGGTCAGGCAGGTTAAGTAGCCACAGTGCATGAGAGAACCTAGGCTTGAACCTAGGTCTGTTTTGACACAGAAACTCTTTTCCCATCGTGTTCCCTTCAAGGCACAAACACATTTTCCTGGAGTGACTGCCTGCCTCCTAGTCAGATTTCACATTTGCCAGGGAGAAATAAGAGCGTGAAGCTGTGAACCACTTACTCTAAAGGACGGCGAGGGACTCGAGTCCCTGCTTATTCAATCTATCTGGTCTGAACTTTTAGATACAATGACTAGGCCGCAAGGCACCCAGGGCGAGCATGGCAGGCCAGCCTGCCCTTTGTGTATGTGCATGGCTCATCAACTGACAGGCAAGATCTGCTGTGGGAACAAAATGGAAGTGCTTCTGCACCTCTGAGGCCACAGGACGAGGCTGAAGACATCTTTAAAGTACTGAGCTCAAAACTCTACTTTTTAAAACTTTTTTCCTCCTGGGCATGAATATTCTCACCCCCATTTTATTTAATAAAAAGATGAATCTCTAACCACTCCTGGAGGTCCACCGAGCCCAGCATAACCTTTACTCTAAAAGCATACTTCAGAAATATCCACAAAGGCCCACATCAATTCATAGCCCTCAGATAAAGACCCAACATGAGCTCTCATATATTTTCAGAAGGCAAACTCAATTTTTTTTCTGAACGTTTGTTTGTTGTTTATTTTGCAGGGCTGGGAGTTGAACCCAGGACCTGCACACACGCTGGGCAAGCACTCTACCCCTGAGACCCACAGGCCCCATTTTTTATCTGTTTCCTCAACTAGTCTCTTATATTCTCAAAGAAACCAGGAATCTAAAGACTTGTGTAAATCACAAAATCTAAGGTCACAGAAGCTCAAAGTGCAAATCAGCTTTCTTACAGCTTAAAACTGTTTATTTCCAATTATGTTTCTACCCAAAGTTCTCCCTAAATTGGAAAGAACTGTCGATATGGCACAGGACTTGAGTCCATCCTACATTAACAATGACAAAATGGTTAGTATTTGAAAAAAAGGCCACTTCTAAAATTCAATAGGATATTCTCTTGCTACATATTATATGACAAAAAGAAAGTGAATTCTTTTTTTTTTTTTTTTTTGTACCAGGGATTGAACCCCAGGGTGCTTAATCACTGAGCCACATCCCCATTCCTTTTTATTTATTTTTAAATTTTGAGACAGGTTCTTGCTAAGTTGCTCAAGGCCTCACTAAATGGCTGAGGCTGACTTTTAACTTGTGATCCTCCTGTCTCACCCTCCCAGGCCACTGGGAGTAAAATGAATTCTTAAATGTTCAACGCATAGATCTGTGTCAAGGCAGTTGTGAGGTAAATTATGTGGCTGACAATGCAGATTTTGAAGAGTTCGTGAAAGTTCAAACCACGTGTTGCCCACGTGAGTCAAGAAGTTTAGGAATGTTCCTTTTCAGGTACACCTCAAATTTCAAAGTCTTTCAATCCCCTGTGGCCTTATTACTTTTATAAAACTTCTAGAACTCATTAACAAAATTGTAAGCTTACCAAAAGAACTTATAAAGTGTTTGGTCAGGACTCCATCTATGAATAACTGATAAAATGTTTCTTGGAAATTTAACAGTTACAAGGATCAGCAATACTTTCCTTTAAAAACATTAAAAGATTCTTTGAACTCACTAGATACTGTTTCAAAATCAATAAGATGATAAGATCAAATGATAGGCAGCTTTTAAAAATATCTTTTCACTACTTGACAATTACTTTTCAAATAAGAAATACCCCCACCAAAATGCCTCTTGGGCGATAGACAACCAATTGATATGTTCAATATACTATTTGTACTACTTAAGATTTAAAGACATTCTTTTGGTTAGTTTTCTCTGTCCAAAACCAAATGAACAGGGTCTGAAACCCAAGGACCACCGGCCTGCCCCTTAGGCCAATATTTTTTCAAACTCAGGAGGAAGGGGAAGGAAAGTTATACACCGGTTAATTTTTGCCTTTGAACCAAAAAGCTAATTCTTGAGCTTTAATTTTTAATTATTATTATTATTATTATTATTATTATTATTATTATTATTATTTTACTGGGGATTGAGCCCAGGGGCACCTTACCACTGAGCCACATCCCCAGTCCTTTACAAGACAGGGTCTCCCTAAATTGATGAGGCTGGCCTCAAACTTTGGATCCTCCTGCCTCAGCCTCCAGAGCAGTTGGGATTACAGGCATGTACCCCTACATCCAATTTGAGCATGAATTCTTAAGAATACTGCAATGGTATTACTGAAGTTATGAACTTCCCTTAATATGAATAAAAATTTACATATACCGATTTTTTTGTAGAGGTTAACTACACTTCCTTAGCATACATTTGCATTTACAACTCTTCCTCTTTGAAAGAACTGGGGGAAACCTGGGAGAAGGGACCCAACTTCAGTAAGAAAACCGAATCCACCAAATTCATCTTAGGCAACTAACTGCTTTATACAAGATATGAAGATGCAAGAGGGTCATGAAAACTGGAAAAGAAGGACACGTCTCCATCAAATACCAAACCTGGGTTCAAAACTCTGCCAGGCTTCTGGTGCTAACTGCATAAATTCTCCTTGGAGGTCAAATCAACCGTTGTGGTGTCTGTTTCCTCAACTGGCACCTAAGTGGTGCCATTTACGAGAAAGTCATCGAAATCCAATCAAAGTGACTTTGGGGGCAGAGATGCCCTGGGATCTGCTCGGGGAAGGTCTCACTCCACGCATGGGCGACGCTTCTCGTGGAGCACCACCACCTCCCCCTCCGCTCCCAACTTCCCCTTACGACGGGGACAGTCACACAGACGGTTTCTGAAAACCAAAGACAAAATGAAACGAACCCCCCCCCCCCCCGTCCAGACCCCCGACGGGACCCCGGCTCGGGGGTGGGCAGGCCCGCGGCACCGCGCTCGGGGCCGCCCCGCGAACTCCTCCAAGAGGTCGCCAAGTTTCTTTCGCCCTTTTTCCCCGCACCCGCCGGAGCCCAGGCAGCCAGGGGGCGGACGCGGCGGCCGGAACCGCGCGACCTGGAACCCGGGGCCTTTTCCTCCTTGGCCGGCCGCTCCCGCCGCCAGCGCCCGCGCCCGAGACCCGCCCCGGCGCGCGCGGGCGCCAACTTTGCCGGGACCCCGCGCCGCGGCCCGCGGCCCCGCTCCAGGCGCCCCGCCGCGCCGCGCGCCCC